GCCGGCGGCGGCGGCGGCGACCCGCGCCAGGTCACGGCTGTCGTTCGACGATGGCAGCGACGTTCACTGTCGAACCACCACACTGCTGGACCACGGAGGACACTGGCCGACCGACCGACCCGCGGCGGCGGCGGCGGCGGCGGCGTCCGGCGCACGCTGCGCGCGGAGAGCGGGCAAGGTCAGAGTGCCGGCGGCGCGGCGGCTCCGCCCTGGGCCGGCCGAGCGAGCTGCACACGCGCCGTCTTCCGACGAGCCCACTGTATACACTGGCGGCGGCTGATAGCGACCGCCGCGCAGCGAGTGCCTCCGCTCGGCGCCGAGCCGAGAGAGAGCGGGCGGCGGCGGCGGCGGCGGCGGCGGCGGCGCGGCTCCACCCTGCGCCGTCCGGCACCCCGCACGCACAGTCAGCCTCGACGGCCAGCCCGGCCGACTCCATATATGTCACCCCTCATGGCCAGGTGCCGTGACCGTGGCGTCGGTCGGCGCAGCGGGTGGCCGCGACACTGGCGTCTTCCTCAGACACAAACGGAGCGCTGCGGTCCGCTCGGCGTAAACCACCGAGATGAGGAAGTGCTCCGAGCGGCGTCGGTCCAGTTTTCCAGGAACGTGTCGGGCAATCAGTGCGACAAGACAAGACAGCAGGCGGCGGCGCCGGTACGTGTCGCGAAATCAGAGCGGACGCACCCCGCTGTACGACCCACCGCAGCACGGCCGGCCAAGGGTGGCACAGCAGACAGCCACGGCCCAACACCGCACGACCCACAGCCCGGCCGCCAGCCGCTCCGTTCCTGCCCATGGCCCTCCGTACCGTGTCCACCCGCTGTGACCGTGCCCGCTCGATATCCAGCCCGGGGCGGCGCTGTTGTGTACACCGCGGCCCCCGTCCGCCCGTAGCCGGCCTCCGCGCCCTGCGGGGTCACACCCGGCCCGCCGCCGCCGACTGCCAATCCTCACTGTAACGGTGCGGCCGGCCAAACGGCGTGCCGACATCCAATGATGAAACCCGGCGGCGGCGAGGCTCCGGCCAGACGCTGACGATACGTCTGCGCGCACTGAGATACAGCGTGTTTCGCGCCCGTGTGGCGCGGGCCGTTTCCTGGCAGCCGCGAAGTGTTGAACTAAAAGGCTGTTTTTAGTCACCCTGAGCACCCGTTTTTGGTCTAAGCCAGCCCTAAGTTTGAGAAGTTTTCTGTTTTATGAAGGGAATCAAATCAGTATTAAAATAGAAAAGCATAAGGAATACTATGGCGCTATGCTTATATTCCTTGATTCTACTTCTAGCACAGCTTGATTAGACAGCGTTTTATGTAATAAAAGAATTGCGACTTGCAAACCGCCCCAAGGCTCATACACGCGAGTAGCGCTAGTTCCACGGCAGTCCCTGCCGCAGGGAAACAAACGTCTGTTCAACACGAACACCGCGTCTTCCAAACTGAACCGGCAGGCTGGTTATAAAACGAACAAATTACCGACTGCCTTGGCTGAACGACTCGACTGAAAGTCCCGTCACCTGACAGCCACCCCTGTAGACCAAGACGCATAGCCCCGCGCCGCACGCTAAGTGCCTGCGGGCATGACCGAAACCTGCCAAGAATTCTCAGATTGTCCTTTCACCTGACGACTCGACATAAAACCGAAACGCGGCACACAGGTATGGCATCATATGTCGGGAACCTGAGGCGGCACCGTCCCGTGTTTGGGTTGGTTTTCATACCCATGCTCGTGAGCGTAAGTTCCCAGTCATTATATCTAGCCCCACACTGGGTCACTCGCGGGACTGTCCGACACAAGGCGAGGCGACCTCAGGATACCTGGAGTGACCCCGAGTCTCCACCACGCTTGAGGCCGTCCGCCCACCTCATGGAGAGGCGCCGTGCGCGTCCGTCCGTGTCGACCGTTCTCCGACTCTCGCTGGGCGTGCTAAGATGACCGATGGTGACAGCGGCGACCCTCCCCCTCCTGGGGCGACACCGGCAGTCTGAACCGACACACGATCTCGACACACGACCCCGAGCGAGCGGGCGTGGGCCGCGGCCGGCGCGCGACGACCTTGTCCTCGCCGTGTGGCCGGTCAAATATTTCACATTCACAGGCACGTGGAGGGAGGGACAGCACGGTCAGGCGGGGTCAGATCGTGTCTAATTAGCTGGTCTGACGCGGGTGGGACGTGACCGGCGGCCACCTCACCGCCATTCACTCCCCGGAGAGCAGACATCCAGCAGACCAGCCGCAGTGAAATAAACAACGCCAATCGGACGCGCACAATGGACGATCGAAGTGCCAACTATAAATAACGGGCGGCCTGTCTGATCGGCGGTCTCCACGCGGCACCGGCCGGCTCCGGTCTCCGGCTGCCTGGTGCGTGGGAATCGAGCCGGTGGCGCTCCAATGTGCCGTGAACTCGGCGAAGGCTCACGTGGCGAGCACGCGGCCCGGCGTTGGCCGTAGATCATCGAACACCGCAACAGCGACCGCAGATATGAGTACCGTAAAGTGGGGCTATTTGAGACAGTGGGGCTATTTGAGACAGTATTTAAAATCGCTATAAAATGAAGAGCGTTTGATTTTTATGAGATATTTTTGCTCAGGAAGGTGTGGAACCGAGCAGTAACTCGCCTGAGCAAAAATTAAGCATACATTTCAAACGGTTTTTATTTTATAACAATTTTAAATACTGTCTCAAATAGCCCCACTGGCGACGTACCTTACGGTACACTCGGGGGCAGATTGATGTTCCACCATTCCCTACCCATCGGGCTCCCATGGATCAGCAGTGGCTGCTGCCAGTGTTGCCTGCCCTCAGCACTGCTCAGCACTGCCTGCCAATGCCAGTGCTGCCAGTCCTGCCACTGACAGCAGCCAGTGCGGGAGCCATGGGAGCCCGATGGGTAGGGAGTGGTGGAACATCAATCTGCCCCCGAGTGTACGTCGCCGCAGCCACTGGGCACTGGCGGTCTCAGCTCAGGTCATGCTTCCATTCACACAGGAGCGTCTGTCCGGCGAGCAGCGCCCCGGCCTCGGTTCGTCCGCCCGGCTCGCCCACACACCGGCCTTCTTCGTTATGGCCTTGTCCTTCAGCGGCCCTCCTACCTGACATTCGCTAACGACGCCGAGATGGAGACACTTCCCCGGATTGGCGGCAAAAAAGGAAACGAAGGGCGGCCGCAGACACCGCCAACCGACCTGCTCAACAACGCTGCTGTGGCGACAGTCAGCTGTTTCCCAGAAACAGAGCTTTCGTAATTATAGCGAGAAGTTCTCTCACTCTAAGTTTCATATGAAAAGTCATTCTGCTCACGTTCCAGCTCTTATGAATATAAGACAAAGCGTAGAGATACCACACCGAGAAACGATGGGGAACTACAGCAAGACAGGCAACAGTTGCGCTTTTTAATGCATCTGGAGTTGTCGGTGAACTGCGATCAATTACCCCAAATACCTGAGTCAAACAAATAGGCATTAAAATTGGATTAGCGACCAATGCTCAACATCAAATCCGTTTGTGAAGCGATTTATTTGCCCATATATCTGTGGTGAAAGCTCCAAACACAAACATACATTAAATAAATGTCAAGAAAGGAAATGTAAGCCCGTCATTAGTCTAATGCTTGGTAATGACAAACAAACGGAGCATCCCTGCAAAACACACTTGCATTTTTGGCCTGTATCTAGGCTGAGTGTCTTTCATATCCCCCATTCAGGCTGCCCCGATGAGCAACGCTGAACAAACCATCCACTTTAACATGAATATGACCGGATAGTCTCATGTCACTCGCCTATTTTTTGCATATGCGAAAGCGTTTCGATATTCCGGCATGACCGCCGGAAGCTGATATAATCAATGCTCAAACATTTCTAAAAGATAAAGTATGAAATGCACACAGGAGTGAAATAGCTGCAGCTCGAAAAGTATACAACTAAGTTTTTGGGATCGGATATCCGATCAATCCAATGACTCCATTCAGGAGGTCGTCCGAGGGTAAGCAGTAAGCACCCTCAGTATTATGACGCCCCACCGCGGTAAGACGCCTTACAAATCAACAAGCCGGATTCATTTCACACCTGACTTATCAACGGTAGCAAAGAAGCACTCTCAAACTCCAACTCAACGGTCGCCCACTCAGCACGTCACGCGTATAATCTGTTAAGCCCGAGGTAAACCACCATCTACGTCATAAAACACCTTGCTAATAAATACCAACCACAAGAAGTCGCTTCAAACGCGGCCAGGGGAAACACTGTCCCACTCCACGTTCCGGTTCAGTGCGGTTCATTGATTCTATGACGCACAAACCTCCTACCTACATTATTCCCACATCCGCCGGCGATGGATATTGAACATCAAACTGACAGAACACTCACGCACAGAGGCCATCACCGGGAACGAGAGGGGGGAGAGTGACATCTAGAAGAGGCGAGAGGATGCGAGAGGAGGAGAGAGAGAAGAGAGGGAGAGAGAGGGGAGAGGGAGAGGAGAGAGAGAGAGAGAGAGAGAGAGAGAGAGAGAGAGAGAGAGAGAGAGAGAGAGAGAGAGAGAGAGAGAGAGAGAGAGAGAGAGAGAGAGAGAGAGAGAGAGAGAGAGAGAGAGAGAGAGAGAGAGAGAGAGAGAGAGAGAGAGAGAGAGAGAGAGAGAGAGAGAGAGAGAGAGAGAGAGAGAGAGAGAGAGAGAGAGAGAGAGAGAGAGAGAGAGAGAGAGAGAGAGAGAGAGAGAGAGAGAGAGAGAGAGAGAGAGAGAGAGAGAGAGAGAGAGAGAGAGAGAGAGAGAGAGAGAGAGAGAGAGAGAGAGAGAGAGAGAGAGAGAGAGAGAGAGAGAGAGAGAGAGAGAGAGAGAGAGAGAGAGAGAGAGAGGAGAGAGAGAGAGAGAGAGAGAGAGAGAGAGAGAGAGAGAGAGAGAGAGAGAGAGAGAGAGAGAGAGAGAGAGAGAGAGAGAGAGAGAGAGAGAGAGAGAGAGAGAGAGAGAGAGAGAGAGAGAGAGAGAGAGAGGAACACTCGGTACTCACCAGACGCGCCCGGGTCGGTCTCGGCAATCGCCTGGTCCGGTGAGTCGTCCCTCGTCCTCTTGGACCGGTCGCCTGAAACACGACGCCGGTCAGGTCAGCGGGTCATAGTTCAGAAGGTCACGGGTAAGTCATAGCCAATATGTCTAAGGGTCATGAGGTCACAACTCACAGGGTCATATGGTCATAGTTCATGTCAAGGGTGCAATCATAGGCTGCAAAACATGAATTCATTGAGGTAAACAGTCACAGGGTCAACTTAGGTCACAGGTCACAGAGTGATAATAGGTATCGATTCACACACTTGTCCAGACGGTGCTGAAATTGAGTACTGACAGACTAACCAGAGTTATCATTTTCTCTTTCAAACACACAAACGGTCAAAGCTATGGTAACTGTCGCATAAAACCTAACAAAGACTACATCGCTGCGACCTAACCCCAGTAACATCCCTACAGGCACATCAATCGCAACAACTAGCAAATAAACAAGCAACCGTACAAGCAAGCAGAACAGTGAACAAGCGGGCTGACGACAGGTCCTAGCTCTTGTCAGCCTGACTCACGCCATGTAGCCCGTTCGCATTTACCATTCGTACTGCACACACTCCCTCGTCCACGTCTAACAGCAAAGTGAATCAATCAAGGGACCGAAGGCAGAGTGATTGCGGCTCATGGCGAAATAAAACTAAGCGAGCACACCGGTGAATTTACAGGCAAGCAGTTATTGAGATGTTGACACCAAAGCTCAATGAATATAAATATCCTTTGTGTGACAGCGTGTCAAAATAAAAAAGGCGGTGCTAAGCTTATTCGTGAACAACCAAACACACCAAAAGCACGTCCTAATTTGCATCAAAATAACCGAAATAAAAATTTTGAGACTGATAAACAGTGCACTGCTCTGTGCGACACATCTCGGGCCGTGTGATTTTGTACACACGGTGACCAGCGCTCTGTCTGATACACTGTCAGTTACACTAAAGGACGGCAGCCTCCGCGGGGTGCTGTGCTAGCGTGACGTCACGATGACGTCATCGACCACACCGCCGCCGTTCGGCCGGCTTACCGGAGCCAACTCCGTGGGCGGGCGCCACGGGAGGATAGATGATGAACACTCCGTCTGGGCCGCGGCGGGGCGAGAGGCGACCCGGTCAGACTGAACACGGTGGGACGACCACCCCACCGCCCACCATAGTTACACTAACCCATAATCCCACCAACTGAACACGTCTGGGCCGCAGCGGGGTAAGAGGCGACCCGGTCAGACTGAACACAGTGGGACGTCCACTCCACTACCCACCAAACACTAACTAACCCACCGTCCCACCAACTGAACACTGAACTGGGGCGCGGCGGGGCGAGAGGCGACCCGGTCAGACTGAACACAGTGGGACGTCCACTCCACTATCCGTCATAGTAACCCACCATCCCACCAACTGAACACTGAACACTCCGTCTGGGCCGCAGCGGGGCGAGAGGCGACCCGGTCAGACCATGAACAGAGGCCCGAACGAACCCACCCTCACACGGACAGCACACTACCGTCTCACAAAGTGTGTCCCACCGTCCACCGTCACACTTACACTGTCCCACCATTGCAAACCAGAAATGGGCATCAACCCCGCAGTCACAATGATAAACCACTCATAAAACCATTCAGCATGCACCAGTCCCTAAAGGCCGCGTCCCCCAGGTTGCATGGAAACTGAAACTATGAATATGTGACTCAACCCTTTTCCTTTTCCTAGCCACCGTCAGTCAAGAGAAGTGTCTCGGTGGTACGGCCCACCATCGAGAGAAACCCCAACCCCTCGGTGCCGAAGCCTCCAAAGGGCTGCAGTAGACGGTCATTTGTAAGGCAAATGACTGCAACGACATTGACCAATAGCCAGCCGCCGAGCGGCGCTCAATAACTGCACGGATTGATAGTTACATCACTGTACGACTGATATTCATCGGCCAATGCGTATATCAGTGGACACATCACTGTCAATTTGTATCAGTTTCTCCGAAAGTCACCGAGATACTGGCTGTCTGTCTCCGAGAGTCTGTCTGTCTCGCTGTATCCCGACCCATCCATCCCCTTGCCCCAGTCGTCTTCGTCCCGCCTGTTTCCCTGCGCCCCGACCTATCCGTGTCCTCCTCTGGCCGCGTCATCCCAGATTCAGCCGGCACACACGCCGCGCTGTCAGTCGGTCGATTGCGAAGGTGCCTCGTTCGCAGAACACGACCGGTGTCAACCATCGATCCCTCGGGACTGGAGACCCTAAGGACGCGCCTCTGGCATACACTGAGGCTCAGCAGCGGAGGGCTGACAGTATGGAGCGGAGTCTAAGCCAGCGGCAACAGTTCCAAGACGAGTGAATTAATTAGGTCCCGGCAGGATACATTACATCAACGGAGGGAGGCAGTGCGGTGTGGTCTCATGTTGCTGAGTCCCTTTGGCTGTAAAGGTCATTATCAATCTAGAAACGAGATCTCCAATGTTGAAAGGTTGACATCGCTAGGAGGGTAAGTAGCACATGCATGTGGTATTTGAGGTTCCACAAAAGAGCAAGAGCATACAATATTGCATCTACACTCTACGGGCACTTCAGACCAGGCGACAACACAATTAATCGAAGAATGGCTAGAAGCGAACTAATAACTTACTATACTCCCCAAAGAGGAATAACTACGAAAAACGAGTTACCAAATCATTCATTCATCTACTAATACTAATCTATGTAGTGACACTAGAAACATTTGTCTGGGACCAGCACCTCTGTTCCAGACAGCGTCGTTCAACTCACTCTGACCTAGGTTGAAGCTGTTGCCCGTCTTCTTCCTCTGTTCGGGCATTATTTTGGCCATGAGGTTGCTGATCTTGTCGCCGCCGCGGCGCGGGATGGCGCCCACACACTGTTCCTCCACAGTTCGCAGGCACGCCTTGTGGATGTTCATCTCACAGTCTGCGGCGAGAATACAAGCGTCATGTAACGCATACACCACACCCACAATAAGACACAGTCAAACACATTACACACTGTAATACAAGGGGTCAAGGACACGGGGAGGGAAGACGCCACGCTCCCGTCGGACGATTAGACTCGACCATTTAGCGTCGACAGTGCCCCACGCCGGGTATAATCCTGGCCCAGATTACACACACGCCGATTTAATCCCCGTCCAATTACCCACGGACCAGGTCTTCCAGAGATCGAGCCGGTTCATGAACCCTGAGCAGTGGAGTCGGCGCGATGTCAGAGCGTGCACTCACACGTCCCCTGCTATCGTCTCATTGGTGTGAGAGCCAATCTGGTTAGTTTGTGCAGCTAGTAACAGTATTCTCACGGTGAGAAAATTCATGGCAATGCTGCCACGCCCGAGAGCCTCCTGCACATCGCTGTGATGTCCTTCTACTCTAGCGATGCAACTGACAGGTCGCATATGGAGTATAGGAAGTGAGAGCACTGGGCTGTCTAACCTCTCCCCCACCACGGGCATCAGCGTTCATAAGACCCTGTCTGGAGCTTGATCATTTTTGTAATACAGTGAGATACATTTTGATCATGGACTTGACTGCATTTCCGAACCGTTATCCATAGCCACTGGAACATCCTTCACCATTATGCAGTTCCGGTAGCCAGATCCAACCCAGCTGATCTCTGCCCCACTGACACACTAACCTTCACACAGACTGCCTACATTGCCTATCCACCAGCTGGTACACACGCCCACCGACCTAACATTCCGCACCGCCAGACCATCCCACTCACCCGCCCCAAAGTACCGTGAATCAAACGCATTCTTCCCCGCTCTAACATAGGGAGGGTCTGTCGCCGAACTATAAAGACAAACGGCCCGTGAACCACCGCCCGGTTCGTCCCACGCTGTCTGGCACGGTCAAGGACGCCCGTGTCTGGTACGGAATCAGTGGTTCAGGATGAGAGGGGTCATAGGAATACTTAAAAGCTGCAGATACTTCAGACTGCCTTACCACCGTCCACAAGTTATCTGCGTGTGCAGTGGATGCCCAGCAACCACAGCCACAGTAACAAGAGTTATTCACCGGTTGGCAACCCGCTTCCACGTCCTGGTTCAACCAAGGCACGCTTCACGCCAGCAAGTCGCGGTTCCGTGTAACGATGAGAAATGGCTACGAGTTCTAGGCGTGACCTATGCACACAGACATTCCCAGTGGAGTTGAGGAAGGGCCCACCTCGCAACACCGGGTAAGCCGGCCGGCCGGTCGGTCGCTAGCCACCTAATCGTGACACCGCGGCCCAGCCGCGGCTAAATGCGTCCTCAGCAGCTCTAGCCGGGCTGGCCAGCCGGCTATAACCCCAGATACAGCGGAGCGGGAGAGGAAACGAGCACAGAATAACCTCCGATTGGGCCCGGGATATCCCAGCTAGGTGCTCTACGGGCGTACGATCAATATCGGAGGACTTCCGCTCGTAACGAGCTGCTCAGCCACAGGCAGCTGAGATCATGGCCGATCTTCAACATACAAATGGTAGCTAAGCCCCCTAGCCTGCAGTATTATTCCTCAGGTCCGACGCATGATCCGGCTAGTGGAGGACAAACAGACGACCCTGAGTCTTTAAAGGTTAGTGGTGCCCACATACGCTGGGAAAGGTGAAAGGACGGGTAAGCGGACAGCGTACCGTAAAATTGTATCAGCCGCCAGCCAGAGAACACAAAGCACAGCGGACGAACCGAACACGCTACATTAACATGACTCTCGGGAAATACCTATTACCTACCCATCAACGTATGACACAACCTGCCAATGGGTATCATTACTACTCTCAACCCAATAGCTACGTTACCTGTCACATGACAAAAAGTATATAGAAACATCGGGTGGCAACATTCGACTTTCACTTTGTCCCATGCACTTCGCACAGCCCCAGACCCAGCCGTGCCGGCTAGCAGGCTGTACTCGCGAGCGCAGTGGTATTCCTGCTGACTATACCACGGGAAGGGCACTCACGTGCGCAATGGTATCCCTGGGAATTAATATACCGCCGGTAGGGTACTCAAGGGCGCTATGGTAGGGGGTCGATGCCTCGGATAGAGTACTCAGTACGGGCGCTCAAGTAGGTGGTTGCTATTGCGGATAGGGTACTCACGGGCGCACTGGTATCCCTGCGGGCTGATGCCGCGGATCGAGTCCTGGCAGGCGTTACAGGCAGTGACGATGTAGTACTGGTGCAGCTGGAACTGGTGACCACGCACCACCGGCGGCTAAGAACAGGCAGAATATGGGGAGAGTTCGTCAGCTGCAAGAGTATGACGCACAATGGGGTGTTACTAACACCCGCGTGTTACAGACAACTGGCAACAATGAGACCGGTAAAGGGTAGGTTTGGGATATACCATATATTATTTGGCAGTATATAAATTAAGCAAAAGATAAGACATGAAAGTAGCACGTAGATCCGCACCATACCGGGCTCATATGCACTACAATCGGCTCTTATGTAATTGACATACCGTACGTGTGACATGATAAGGACTCCATATCTCAAAAGAAAACTACATTAGTGACATGATATTGATTAGCCTCGAGTCTGGTTCGGTAAGCACGTAAGCAAGAGTATTGCGTGGGATGAAGCCTCCACGACGATCCCTCTGGCGTGGGCCGTCTCAAAATACCATCAGTAAATGGACGTCACTTCACGAGCGACTGACATCCTAGTAAATGCCACCACCCACAACCGAAGGCAATCTCAGTCAAACGAGGCATTTTGGAACACATATCAGTGACAAGAGAATTAGGGAATACCGGAGTACCACGCCGACTCATACAATTTGTTTTGTTTGGTAAATGTCACGGTATCAATACTCCATACTCCCACGCGTCTCAGGACATATAAGCGCATATTAGATAATATATTTGCCATCATCTTACTCGTAAACGCATCATAAGTGTATCAGGCCGGAAACGTTAACTACATAAATATGCGCTGACCTGGGGCTGGGACATGGAATGACATTCACGAATATACAGATATAGCCGTCTTTACGACCTGATGCAATACAGAATCGCTGCCAAAAGCGGCTTTCCAGGCCGATAACCTCCGATAATCCTAGCAAATCATCGCATAACTGCGATTCGACGCACCTTTTTATGCCTGTTGAGCAGTTTGGACTTGAAGGAGCGCTCCTTGGAGACGAACAGGGGGCAGCTCTCGACGATCTGCTGCAGGCTGGGACTGCGGTAGTTGAAGTACTTGTAGAGGATGGTGGCCAAGCTGGACGCCTGGGTCTGCGTCTGCTCAGAGGCGTTCTCCAGCTCAGAGCTGTCGGACCGGGTCAGGTAGAGGTCAGCACAAGCGCAGCCAAAGGGATAGACTGACACGTGGAGAGAGGCATACCATGACAGGGCGAGGGGTGTCGACATTAAGACGAACTGGAAAACAGTATCCAGCATTTCCAGCAACCATGACCCCATTAGAGCCAAATGCGTTCAACCACCACACCTACAAAACTATGAAAGTCGAACTTCCAAAAGCCACCAGTATAGACATGCTTATCGCATATGCTCCATGCCCCTCCACTACTCCTAACAGTTAACACAGACCAACAAACTGGTTGAGTTTCGATAGGTGTTCTCGAGTTAATCCCGTACCAGTTCAGCCCTTGTCCCCAACTGAATGCTGGGTGTACAGTCTCGACACCAACTTCATACCACTTCACCCCTCTCTCCCTGCACTCACGACTGGTGATCCGATCCATTCAACCACTCTCCCTGCATTCTCGGCTGGAACAGACGGTCTCGAGTTTAACCCATCCCACTTATTCCTCCCCTTTTGCACTCATGACTGGACAGTCCCCATATACTAGCACTACACCCTTTTTCCCTGCACTCACGTCTAATGATGCGACCAACAACCCTTCTCCCCTATACTCACGACTGGTGTACGGTCTCCAGCAGTTTGACCAGCACGTCCTCGATGATGCGGCCCTCGCGCGCCTTGTCGTGCCGCGCCTCCTCCAGTTCAGAGTCCTTGGGGCCGAACATGGCCCCCAGGCCGGCCGTCCGCTTCCCGCGGAAATCGGCCAGCTGGTCGTTGATGTCCTCTCGCGCTCGCGCCCGTGCCCGCTGGAATATCTGGAATAGGCAAGCGCGGAGAGTGCATTAAAGTAGCGAAAACGAAACACATCAGACAGAAAATAGTTATTGCGAAGCACCGGCCGCTTATGAATCATTTCGACCAGTACCAAATAAACCCCCCAAAAATGACTTGCTTCAAAGTATACATGCGGTACGAGCATCTGTTAACACTGATAGCCGAACACAAAAGCCCCTTTAGTGGCCATGGTTGGTACTAGGTTGGTGTGACAGACTGCCAGTCGGAGCGGACACCCACCGTGCGCAGTTTCTCCTCCTTGTCCAAGTCTCGGAGGAGAATCTCGTCTATCTTCAGTAGGGAACCCTCCTCAATGCCATTAACCCGCATCACCTGAAAACATACAGACGATGACGGTCAGACTCTCATGGTCGTGCAAAGCAGCGCGACATCATACATGTTTGAAGGACTAGCCAAGCAGCCAAAACTTTTACTGAGCTCACCACTGAAACGGAAATACCTGAGCAAACTGGTCAAAACGGGCCGACTCCGAATTTTCTACACTGCTGAGCAGTTTCATGGCACGTCTCAAATGACTCACACCTTTCCTTGCCCAACATCAAGGAAGTTATGCAAATAACCCTCTGACTACATCACAGCCAGGCAAAACAGTAAACACATCATCACGAATATCCTCATTCCGTCTCCCAATATTCACCTACACCGACGGACTTTTCGCCACACATGCCCCCACGTCTCGCACCCCTCACATCCACGTCCCAACGCGCCGTCACGTCCTTCCATGAACGTCCCACATTCCTATCTGACGTCCCTGTGAGGCCGTCCGCCCGCCAACGGCGCGTGACGGCACACTCGCGGATGGCCCGCGTCCTTTTATGGTCCTGTCCGCCACCCGGCCGTCCACACACGGCGGCGGGTGAGGGCCAGCCAAGCGGTGATCGAATGTGACAAGATGTTTGGCAGCTCATGACAAAATTTTGGTTGGCTACAGCTAGCAGAAGGCATGCATTCACTTGCATGTTTTCAGCGCGTGGCTTGGTTCGTTCGACATGAAGAAACCAGTGCGCGAACACTTTGGAATGTAATACCTTACACATCACTAGTGATCGCTAAATGTATCTCCAGAACAAATCGCTAAACAATGATCAACGAACGATCTACAGAATACCATGAAACGGCTAGATATGTGCGTTTACACATACCCGGCTTCTTAGTAACAAAATGACAGGCATCACTCACCATCATCCCACGCACCCATGAAATGCTCAATACTGTGAAATAGGTGCTCATCAAGCAACAGCATGCCCCCGGTACTTACAGCATCAGGCACCAAGAAAGTGGAGTGAATCTCATACGCCCAGCGGCGCATATCCTTCGCATTGCCCTCTTTGTACAAATCACTGATTAAGTAGAAAAACTGAAACACGCAAATGGAGCAAACAGCGTTATCGTCACGTACTGACGCGTCGGCACGCGCTGACTCGGTAGAGGGATCCCTGCTCTGCCGAGAATCAGACACAAAACCTGTCGCCAAGGCGTGCCGACACATGTGAACAGGCTCGGGAGCAGCGGCGGAGACAGTGGGATAAAGGAGCACACAGGATCCAGTTGTGGAGAGGCAAAACACAATCGTAAAGCAGGACAAATGGCGTCAACAACCAATTCATAACTCACAACAGCTGGCTTTATGGGATAAATAGTCTCACCAGCACATTTTGAAACATAAGAATGTTCTCTGACCAATTGTCTCGAAATGACACTACAGTTATCCCCTACGGCACTCGTAACCTGTTATAGGTATCAACTCAAAGCCACACAATGTTTCTCAACAAATGCAATTAATAACGACTCAGACCCGAGTTGCCCCTCACCCAGGTCGCCCTATCGAACCCACCCAAGACTAGAGCCAGCCAAAGACCGGCGCTACTCACCAGGCTCGAGGGATCGCAGTTGGATATCACATAATTCATAAAGACAGCTAGGTGAGCGTGATCGTGCAGCAGGTTATTCAGACTGTTGAAAGGCCCGTGGTCCTCCTGACCCTGAAAACAGACAATCGGTGACGTCAGAGAACGGCAGCAATACGTCACTGGAGGACAGCGGGGACACGGTGACATAGGTAGACGGTCAACGTCTCAGGGCAGCCCCAGAGAAAGGCAGTGGGCTCATCAGTATGCTTCAGGTAGGTCAATCTACATCTGATAAAGGAGCGCGACCTTCCTACCCGACTACACGCGTGGACACCGGTCACATTATCGGACATTAGCTCACATTTGGCCTGGACGTTGCCGACGCACACGTCAATCAAGTATTTCACCATATTCCTTCAGCTGGTATCCTCTTAATATTCGCATCTTTTCACAATTGTGTAAAGCTTTCGTTTACAATAATGCAATGTCCCTTGCTCTACTCCAGGTCCCAACCAGCCCACAGTCAGCTCTAGTTGAGGGTCTCACTGTCGTTACCCTGATCTGGAACCCCGTCCCCGATATACTCACACACTCCTGTTCGGAGAGGTCGTCGTCTTCTATGGACATGATGTGCGGCTGGTTCACCCGCTGCACCATGCCGGGACTGGAGCCAGACGTGTCAGTCGCAGACACCTGGCGGACAGTTGCACAGTTAGAGTTACATCACCGCCGCTAGGTGGCAGTGTGGTCAGTCAGTCGTCTACTGGCCGCTTGCAGCCGGCGATAGACAGAACAACAGCGTGCCAACAGCTCAATCGGCGCGTGTTTTCTGCTGAGTGGACAGCTGTGAGCGGCCGACGCGACACGCACGCGCAGATCAGAGAGAGTGGCGGACCGAGCGAGAGTCACCGGGCAGAGGTCGGAGGTGGCGACGCGTCAACATCGCGAAAAGCGCCCATACATACACACATCGCCCAGCGCGCTCAGCCCGGCCGAGGACAAAGACGGCGGCGACGGCGGGCGACATTTCCGCGCTCCAGTTTCCCTGATGTGCCGGCCGATATCGGGGCGAGCACCATGTGAAACCCGCGCACCGGGCCGGTCGGCCGGTCCGCCGCCCAGGGGTCCGCCCCCGCCACCGCCGGCGGCCTGGGCGGGCCGTGCACCGGCCGCACTTCGCGTGACGACGCCGGAAAAATGGCACCGCGTGGGCCGGCGTGGGCTCGGCGGTCAGATGGTGCACTCGATGATTGCAATGAAGTCGGCGCACCTTACACAACACAATCGATTTCGTACTGAGGCAACCTCGCTGCTCAGTAGAGTTCTGCACGGCTGCAATTTTCCACAGCCTAGCCGCCCCGCAGCCGTGGCTCCACAGCCACAGCCGCCCACAGCCGTGGCAAACTGTGGGCAGCCAGCCGTCAGCCGGCCGTGGATACTTTCAATGAAATGCAACCAAATAGTATATAAAAATAGTATACCTATTATATAAGTTGTTTTTAGTTGAAGCATATAGCCAAAAGCACATTGCAATGGGCTATAGATTATCAAGCTCATGAAGCATCATAGGTTAAGTGGTTGTGTATCTGTCTTTAGGCCAAAGGCCTGAAGCCTGATGCGCAACGCATGCCTACACAAGCCCTTGCAAGGGGTTAAGAAAGATGAGTAGGTAGGTACCTACATCAACAGAAAACATAAACAACGAACCAGAATAGAAGCACTAACAGTGTAGACATCTAATGCCAAATCCTGAAGCATGGTTGTGGGACAGAACAACAGACCCTGATGCTTTTCATTATCAATGTTAGGTATGGAAAATGAAACTGAAGTTGATGGACTGTCAAACAGTGATTGTCTAGTCAAAACTCTTGCTTCTTTCTTACCTTGCATATTTTCTGGGGTGTGATATGCCAGGCTTGAAGCAGCCTTCTGAGCCTTCTGAGTAAGTCTCAAACTAATTTGATATGCAAGGCATGAAAGCACTAGTGAGCATCCAAGAAAGAAAAACATTCATCTTTTTTATTTTTCCAAATAATGATCTTCGCTCAAATCCCCAAGGACGTGCGAGCCACAATTGCCTCTTTCAATCAAAAATTTTACTTGAGTTTAAATGACGTCAATAGCAAAGAAGTGGCAATAAATTGCTTTGACTCACTATAAACAGCCATAAAAATCCAAATTAATAAATAATAATGCTATACAGTTAAAAACTTGCTCTCAAACAAAGAATAAGTATCACATTTTTACATTTTTTAGAAAAAGACGTCATTTTATTAGTAAAGTCAACAGCTCGCGTAAGAAATATTGTGTTCAGGGTTTTCACCGTAATGTGAATTACGTGTTCATGGTTTTCACCATCATATGAATTAACCGTAAGTAAGGTTCATGCTCACTTATAATCTAATTCCATTGGCTTCGTTGATCAGCATTTTCTGTTAGTGGTCACTCACACACCAGTTAGAACATAAAGCGCCAGTTTTATATTATGTATTTGGACTTGCCGAAAATCCAGAAATACATCTAAGAGTTATTTTAGATAATATTTTATGAAGCCTTTGCCTGCCTTTACCTAGGCGTGGTTTCTTTTTCTATTACCTGAAAGAATTATTGAACGCTCGTCTTCAATAGCTGTAAGGTGCTCTCCTAATGACCAGGTGAGATTGGTTTGAGAGGGATGTGACAATGCAACATGTTGCATTTTTTGAAACTGTCAAGCTCTTGATGATGAAGGAACAATTGGTACCTATAATTAGTATTCTGTACCAGAGTGCAAACTCCCCTACAGCAAATGGTAAAACCATTACAGGTTTTCAAAGGCTTCACCACTTTCAATGTTGCTGGGCATCCTTTGCATGATTTTTGCAGGCTAGACTGTTTATCAGAATGTAAGATTAAGGATTTAGAATTTTATATTTGAGTACTTGAGATTGAGCTTGAAATCTCACAGCCGTGGCCACAGCCGTAGCCGTGTTCTTGGAGATATTTGCAGCCGCCCCGGCCCACAGCCGTGGGGCTGCAGCCAGCCGCGGCTGCAGCCGGCCGGTGCAGACCTCTACTGCTCAGTCACCTCCAAAAACACGAGCTCATTATCCTAACGAATGTCAACGTCCCATTTCACAACTTCGCATGCTACGACGTCACAAAACTCGCCAGACTTTTCATCGACCAAGCAGCCTTTTTAACTATCCGAGCCAACAGTCCGGTCATAGACACAGGGCATACAGGGTGGGGCAGCATAATCGGGAATAAATATCAAACGGGATTATTTGGTCATGAATTTAAAAATATAGCTCTAAGCACTATTTTAACAACATCCCATCAATCGGTCACCTTTTACCTATCCCTCATCCTATTTGACCGCCCTTCGCGTCGATGACCTTCTCAAGGCGGGTCCAAAAGCACGCGCATGCACGTGCAGCCTCCTGCTTGTCCATGATCGCCCATCAGCTTCGTACCTTGCACTGAAGACCGTTTTTACTGATGATAAGTTGTTCATTAAACTTCTACCAAAAAACGCTCCATATAAAGAATTTGGTCGGATTTAAATCGGCGGAGTTGAAGGACCAGAAGTTTTTGGTTCATCTCAGGTGGAGGTGCCCTACACAATAACATGTCGTCCTCACTGCAGTACCAGCACGGACAGAGTCCTCGTAAGACGTGATCTGGACCGTCAGTGATCCTCTCTTCCGACGACTCCACGTGAGTCTGCCAGAGTGTGGATGTATTTACCAGAGGTGCTCGTTTTATCCGGGCTCGATGAAGTAGGGTGCACCACGTGCACCTCCCTTGAAGACCACCCATAGGTCCATCACCTCAACAGGATGTTTACTTTGCATGACCGCTGCAATATTCTCGATACAATCCCCTATATGGCATGCCATTCTTTTTTATCGTATTCCAGTCGGTGATAAGATTTTTGGTCGCTGAAGTTTTGAACATTGTTTCTTTTTAATATGCTCAAGAGCTTCTTCCTTATATTCAAGTGAGTCATCTTGTATGTCCTCTGCTAAGAGTTATTTTACGACGATTACGTTAACTTTTTGTCCTAAGTATCCCCACACAATCCTTATCGTCCGTGATAACACGTTGACCTGTCCAGCAACCTTTACGTGGAATGGCATTGTTTTAAACAAAATGTTCTTGTTTTACTCGTTTAACATTAGTGTCTATGGGCGCGCGCAAAGCACTTGGAGCACCGTCGAACTATTTTGCTGCTCTTTTCCAGGAAGTTGCATGCTCATGGATGTAGTCATGTCAGATGATGCACAACTTTTGGGCGTTTCATTGCCATGATATAATTTATCAAAATAATGCCATGCCTACTCATGACCAGAGCCCAAAAAGCATTCCCGATTATGCTGCCCCACCCTGTATTTCGTCGGTGGGCTAGTTAGCCGAGTGATTTAGGGCTGCAGCCCGGCACGGCTGTATAGATTGGGAGTATCCAGGGCCCACAGACTGCATGGCACCGGCGCTGACCTGGGGGACGGAACTGGCGGGGAGGGGACGAGAGGCGTGGGTGAGTCTGCGGTCTGCAGAGCCGGATGGATGACGTGGAGCGCTGTGACAGCGAAAGAGGGAGGGATAGCCGACGCTCGTCTGCGGTGGGACCACCAAGATAGACACTCCGGCCACAGGGACCCCAGTGCAGGGGTTTGTCGGTGTCCTGCTGGACCGACTCGACAGGGGCGTGGCTCGGTCCCATCCGGCCGCCCCCTGGAGGTCGGTGGGCGGGGCGTGACTCCGGCGCCGGCACCGCCCCATTGTTCGTCGCGCCGACATCCTCCGTCGACTCGGAGCGGGACACGACGGAGGTGCGTGGGCACGTCGGAACTCGGAGAAAAACCGGCACCGATTCTACCCACGGCATACAGTGGACTGACGGATAACAGTAGCGGGCGGGAGGCGGGCGGGAGTCATGAGCTTAGCGAGCATCTGGACAGGACCGGCGAGGCAGCTGATCCTAGGGATCATCCCAGGGTCTCGCTGAAGAAACCCAATGTCGCCACACAAGGGTGTCACGCAGCAACGGGCATGACCGGCTACACAAGTCGACTTAGGCGGATGAGCCATTGCGGAACTGGATGCATGGCAACAGTCTCATCTCGAAACAAACTACACAGAGCAGCCTTACCATTTCCACAACTGGCCAATTGTAGCCTTTCAAAAGTGATGCTTGCCGTGACCTTCACGTGAGCAGCGAATAGAATAGGTTTTCGAAAAGACGTCGGTACCGTGGAACAACTGAAAAGGACACAGCAAACAGCACCAAACGCAGAACAGTGCAGGAGCAAGTGGGAGGCGTTGTGAAATACCACCGGCAACATTGACATCAGCAGATGATGCAATCGACAACTTAGCCGAAAGAACAGAAATACAGCGAAATACACCCGACTACAGAAACCAGCAGCAAAAGTCAGCGAACACCTGAGAAAACAGCTAGCAACAACAATCGACCGCGGCTCTGGCAGTCGGACCCAGCAATGTTAGAACGCCTGAAACCGGACTAGGTACAGCAAGCACCACCAGCAGGCAGGAATCGACAGTGACCGGGCGCGTCTCTATTCAGATGTAGATCAGTCCCAGTGATGCCACTGTCCACAGCACATCCCGACAGCGCATCCCGCTGGATCACGACCCACTTTCCCAGTCTGCCGCCGGGTCCATCAAAACACGCTTTGTCGTCATCCCAAGCGGCGAGGTACCGGGCGTGGCGGTAGCGCCGGGACGCTAACAAGCGGCGCGTGCGGCGGGCCTCACAGCCGGAGGGGAGGGGTGTGGGTCGCTGGTGACTGTGACCTGCTGGGGCTGTGACTGATCTGTCGGTGACTGTAATCTGCTTTCCTAGCCCAGTGAATGGCTAGGTCAGCCATTCACTAGGTCAGGCTACAGGTCAGCGTTTGGTAGCTGAATGGCTCCCGGTAGGATTACACTAGCGAACATGAATTTGTGAGGATGTAGAGGAATAAAATGCATTAGAAAGGGCAGCTCAGTAAGGGATGAAAACAGGGAACAACAAAACCGACGAAGTGATCAGTATCGACATCCAACAAGCACATGCCATTGATGCAAATGTGAACAAAAACCCACGCCAAACTCTCCCGCACGCAAAGGTCACATTATATAAATGTCATAAAGGACTTGGCAAGCGCGCATTGAGCAAGAGGCGACCATTCGCGGAACCGGCGCACTTTTCGCTGCGCTGCCCGGAGAGTGGTGGCCTTGATCCGTTCGCCATGTGCGGCAGCGGTTTTTACGCCAAACAATGGCAATACCGCTGAAAACGAGCACGACCTTGACGACACTCTGCAGCTTATTATAGCGACCCGCCGGCATTGTCCGTGCAAGATTAAAACAGGTCAGCTCGGCGTCACTGCGAGGGTTTACCAGCACAGGATAAAAACAAAAGGAAATATAGACAAACACATGTCAGTCAAATATCAAATCGCACGCGTGCCTTTTGGGCATACAAAAACAGCTTACAGCACACAGCATCAATACTTGTTAGCATACATAGACACAGACTAAAAAAACACGTATCGCCTAACGCGTGGCCACAGTTCCAAACACATTCCCACCGAGATAGGGCGCACGCTACTCTTTCAACGAGCAACCGGGCAGCTCATTGCGTAAATCACGGCCCAATGCGAACCGTGATAGAACATAAGTGGCTAATTACACGGCACTCCGACATCACGCAACACGGCAGCTCACGCGCCGCACTTTCACACTCTCGTCCGACACCGTATCGCGAGCCGGTGTTTGGATTTACCGCAGCAGCGGTCGCTACCACAATCTCCAGCGGGTTCGGTACGCGGCCTTGCACGCAACGATGGCCTGAAAGGTGAGAGACTACTAACCAGGAACGAGAAAAACGAGTTAGCGGGAACAATACGGACGGCCTGGGATGAGACCGTTTTTAATGTCTCACGACGGACGTCACAGACTCATGCTGGTTTGCCTGAGAAAACGCCACCCTCCATCTGAAGAAAAGCAATAGATTATATTTTGCTGGCATTATTCCCTGCCGTAAGACTAGCTGCCAGCCACTGAGCACGACCTTGCTGAGTCAATAACCAGACAGCCCCAGCTAATGGCCGTCAGCGCACGGGGAGAGGGAAGCTTCCAGAGAGAAATGGGAGAGGGAGAGGGGGAAGAGACAAGCTACAGTGCGGAGTCGACACGCCGGCGCCAGTGGAGACAGCTGATAGAGTGGCGGAAGCGGGCGGACGACTCCCTCCCTTCTCTTCCAAGCGCCCTACGGCCCCAAACCACCCCGTCTGGACCATTCCTGAGCCATGTAACTGCCCAGCCGTGCCGTCGAAAATGGCAGGGAGGCGGCACGGACAGACCGTGCGGTACTGACGGACCGGCAGACCCACAGGTGACTCACGCTGACCAGAGACACGTCACCGATCGAACGGCAGGCGTTCGGTGCGTCAGAAGATCCGGCTTCGACGGACGGCAACCGGCCGGACGGGCGGCTGACGGGCGGCTGTCAGCAGAGGACCGGATGACGGCCGGCCTGTCAGTCGACCGTCACCGACAGCCGGTCAGACCGACACGGTAAATACAGTTGACCTGCCGGGCTGGCCATCACCCACCCACAGCCAGCCGTCAGTCGGATAGTTGGACACTCAGCTCTGATTGCTTGGGTAGAGAGGCACCCAAAAAACCAATCGGCCGAGCATAGCCAGAGTTGAATAACAGCCAGTTCCGACCACCTGCCCTTCCAGCTGGTAGCTTGGTGTTGTCCACAGCTATCACTACCTGCATATAGGGAGTCCGCTGTCCCTGCCAGCGTCCTCAGGAATCATTCACCCCGGTCGCTTACAGTGCCTTCCCCGAATTTTCAAGGTCCCTGGTGCCACCAGGCACCCCGCCTCGTCTCATCGCTGATTGACAACCGGTAGGTAGGGGCGGGACGCATCATAAAAAGCTGCCAATCAACTCCCAAACAGTTGGAGGCACACGGCTAAAAACAACAAACGGAGGACAATGTAACGCGGGAAGATCACAAAGAACCAAGGCACTTTGCCTTTTGCAAAGTGCCGCCTTTCCACTCAATGGAAATGCGAGAAAAGACATTCACAATGCCTCTCATTCGGTTATGTTCTGCCTGCTGTCAGAGCAGGGAGCGCCGCGACCCGGCTCGACCCAATTGACGGCGCATATCTGAAGATTGACAAAGACTGGCAGTCGAGACAGACGGTGCATCGCAGAAGCACAGGGGTGAGCTGTGAGGGTGCCGCGACAGGCAATCATTTTTGGCAAGTTCTCAGACCGATTACGGAGGGAAAAGGATAACAAAGTCACTGAAACTGAGAAGTGATGGTCACCGGAAGTGAGTGGTAAGATAGAACGACACGATTTCTTTCCAATGGAGACACGGTCACAACTAACACCAAACAACACAGACCTTTTCAGCAGAATCCCGCTAAGAACAGCACAGGCAGTCACTTGTGACTGTGTTGGGATAGGTCGTAACAAACGCAGCAGCCTAGCACGCAGCCCAGATCTCCAGCGCACGCTGCGTCAGCTCCCTGGCGAGTGACCGCGCATACAGAAAGGAGCGCCCACTGCGCGAGGGGACACTGACTGAATTGGACCCTGCGGAGAGTCCTGGTCACGAGGGAAGAATGCGTGCAGAGAAACAATGTCGAACTGACTGCATCTGCGCGCTGAACTGACGCCACCAGTACCCAGTTGTTAGCGGCCGTGACCAGTTAGTTTTGGAAGGCGGTGGCTAGCAGTTCGTATATGCACAATGGTCAAGCACCTGCACGACCCAACGGCGGAAGCCGGGGATGCGAAGGTGTGAGATTGGTCCGAGTTTGGCGAATTGTGTGAGCTTCAGCTCGATTTATGCGTGTTACCGATTCTGTATCGTGAGTAAGATGTTGCTGCCTGGAAAAGGTATCGTAAGAGCACATCGGTTCAGCCTCGAGACGCCCTACTGTAAGGTTGATTATCGTTCGTTATCAGTCTGTGAATGAGCGGTACCAACCTCCTACATGCATTGGTTTGACTTGGCGTCGCTAACCGGCGCGTTTCGTGTGCTTACGGACCTGCGAGGGCGAGAAAGGGCCGGAGACGTCTGGTGACTGGCAGCAGGCGCCGTTCGATGCCGGTGTTCGAGGCGCCGCGCTGGTCAGGCTGAAGGAGCGCGTGTAGGGCACGCGACGGCTGGCCGAGGAACGACCTCCGCCGCTGCCGGCCGACCCGGGCTGCCGGGACGCACACGGATACGCGAGGTGGACGGACGCCAATCAGCCATACACACAGACAGACACACGGGCACGCGAGGTGCAAGACCGCCCATCAGCCACACAAAGACAAACACACGGACACACAGACGGACACATGTGTCGGAGGGACGCCCATCAGCCACATAGAGAGCAACAGACACACAGGCAAACACACAGGGAGGGATGGACACCACGCGGACACACGCGGTGGACGGACGCCCATCAGCCATACACAGAGCGATAGACATACGGACATCCACACAGGACGACAGACACACGGACGGACAGGACAGACGCTCATCAGCCATACACATACACGGCCAACAACAGACACACAGACACGTAGCGACAAACACACAGACGGACACACAGACACACGCCGTGGACAGACGCCCATCAGCCATAGACAGACGCACACACACGGGCACACGGACACACGAGGTGGACGGACACCCATCAGCTACAAACACACACACCCAGCGGCAAACACACAGACGCAGCAGTGGACAGGCGCCCGTCAGACATTAGCCACACAGAGACACAGAAACAGACACAGATTGCCACAGATCGAGCGACTGATACAGATTGCGGCGGCAGCGGCGACGACGGGGTGGAAGTTTTTTTTTTTATTCAGGCCTCCCTCCAACGGGCACTGTATCCCATTTACAGGAGGGCTCCTCCTCCTCCTGGCCCTTGTTCCCCCACCCCCAGGCTACGGCTGAAGTGGGAGCCTACCCCACACCTGGTGACACAGCCGGGGACGACGCCCGCGGAACGGGCGGAACCGGGAATCGAACCCGAACCCGGCACCGCCCGCACCGCGGGTCGACGCCTTAACCGACTGCGCCACCAGGGCCGCTTTGGTATGACAATTATGACAATTAAATTAAATGAAATTAAATTAAATGTATGACAATTAAATGAAAACGAAGCTGCTGATCTGGATGACTATGAAGCAAGTAAAAAATAACCATTTCGTAATTATGGGTTATACATTTTTAACAAAACTTGAATGACCCACTTTTTGAATGATACTTATAAATAACTGAGTCCGCAGGCAAAAACAAACAAACAAACAAACAAACAAACAAACAAACAAACAAACAAAACATGATTAGCCTATTAATATTGAGCCTAAGCATTGAGAACATTAATCACGGGACATGCCGACCCGAGTACCGATTAGGCCGACACTCAACCCAAATTGCTGGCAATCACAAAGGTATCCAATAGCCCTCGAAAGCATTGACTCGATAGAGCGCATTATTCTTCCAAGATATGCGCCCAACTTCACAACAAGTAGCGCCCGATAATTCCAAGAATAATCTGGCTCAGACCTCATAAAATGTGGCTTAGTTAGAGAGCCCCTACTCCACCTATCGACCGTGCATTGAGCAGAACCACTCGGACCCTGCGGGTAAATCTGGGCTGATCCCAATAACCTGCGTTACCACCATCGCCACCATTGTCTCTGACGAACGCAAGCGGCTGTCGGACAGGACAGCATGATACACCAGACAGGACAACTCAACACTCCAGACAGGACAACATGACACGCCAGACAGGACAGCACTGCATACCAGACACAGGACAGCATTGCATACCAGCCAAGACAGGGACAGGTGGAGTGACAACAGCCAAGACTCTTCCCGGGGATAGGGTGTCAGACAACCGCACAGACACACAAAGAAACTAAAGCAAATAATATAAGAACATGACAAAAATGAAACCAAAACGTAAAATGTAAAAGTTTACCGAGAATGTAATGTAAGAAAAGCTAAAAATGAGACTAGTCAAAACTCGGACTTGTGCAAAAAGGCCAATAAACTGAAGAACAAAATAAAGTGCTTAGAACCGTATAAAACATTACACTCCCAAAGCGAAAAAAATGAATCGAATGCACACACTACTCAGGCAGCACAGGTGCTAGAGTACATATCCGTAGTTGCGGCGCCCGCCACGGGCGGCGCTGGCCCGGCGAGCGGCGGTGACCCGACCGCTCGCCGGGTCAGTCTGGGCGCGTGCTTGAGAGCAGATCCACACAAACGCACACCGCAGCCACTCAAAAGGCCGACCCCACTAACACACCGCAACTAAGAAACAAAGGGACCCCTGTACAACGGTGTATACGGGGCAAACATGCTGTCTACGAGGGAAGCACTATGTGACTAGGGAAGCCGGTGTCCAATATCCAAACACTTCTACAGTCACTCAACGCATGCGTTCCCGAGAGTCCGGCTGGCCATAGTCAGATCAATGGTGACATGCAACTAACAGACCATGTTGTTCCCCGCATGCCTAGTTGGAAAACGATTCAATGGTATGGATACATGCAGCGCTACTGTTACAACGATACAGGAAAAGACGGCCGAAGGGGAGATGCATCAATAGCTGGTGTCAGTGTTCAATTTTTGCAGATACATCTCCAAGACGGGTTACTGTAGCGCCGCGGCCATACCTATTGGTGTGATGGGCAAGGGATGGGATGTCAGGTAGGGAACGGTACATGGCAAGAAGGAAAGAAGGCATTGTCGTAAAAGAGTTCGAAAAAGGAAATCCTAAGTGTGCATAAGGAATTCTGATTAGCTGTTGTGATTAGCGTGCATTGCCCATGTTTCAGGCGGCACCATGTTATGTACTGAGGGTGTATATTATTGTTTGTGTCGTGGCACCATCCATCAGGGCGGAGTGCGATGCGGAGGCTGCGCCGTTGGTTTCATGTCGGCCTTTGACCGTCAACAGAGCGACCCAGGGCGAAACGCCGACCGTCCTCATTGCCCTATGATTCGGTTATTTTTGTGAGAAGTGTGCACACTGAGTGGCTCCGCGCAGCTCAGAAAGCTTTCAGCTCTTTAGGCTCCAGCAGCCCCGACACAGCTCAGAAAGCTCTCAGCTCTCTCGGCTGCACCAGTCTGCCGTCTGCTATGTCCCCGATCGGGGTCTAACGGCGATCCGTCCGATCACTACCCCACCAAGGCCACCGCCCGCCACCTCCCGGCGCGCTACCGTCTGTACACCGCGCGCTACCGTCACCAAAAGCACCCGCTCACCGGCCGCCGCGGCACCGTGCGACCTACAGCAGCGAGCGGCCCACGTCTACAGGATTGAGGAGCGATACCATCCGGTCAGCGGCTGCAGCGGACCGCCAACCGAGCCGCTACACACCAAACCGACACAGCGGGTAAGCCAGGCCCGCGGCGGAGGGATGAGAGCCGAGCGGACCGACCAACACCATCTCTGCACACCGATGGATAGCTAAACTACAGCGGCAGCGATACATCCTACACATCTACTGGAACACAGCGACGGCCATCGACTAGATCATGGCCTCATGCACACCCATGGAAAGAATCAACACAGCTGGCCTGACAACGGTCAGGATACAGGCCTCAACAACAGCAAACCGTGATCGCAAACTCAAAAACCCCACACGCACGGGCCGACTAAGAATTATGAAACTTGATATCATCTACTCAACGGGTTGGAACGAGCTATCTGATAACAACACGAAACAAATTTTAATTTGATACGCCTCTTCTTTGTGATCGGAAATCCCAACGACAAGATCAAATGCATTTATAATTAACTTTCAAACTTCTACGTTATTCCTAAAAAAATCAGACACCAAAGCATCCCCACACCTCTCCAGCCCTGTCCGCAGCCCGCGGTCGGAGCGGAGATCATACCTCATGGTCGAATCTGTCCCAGTCGCCGGCCGCCGTCGCAGAGGCCACATCACACGTGCTTCCTCCATAGGGCGGCGGCGGTGTGCCGGGTGGGGTGAACAGCGGACTATCGGCGTCCCCGGCCACGTGGTGTGATGACCGGGCGTGCCGACCCGAGCCCAGGTCACCCATAGACTCGGCCGCGCTCAGCCGCCGCGGACCTGTGAGGCAGAGAGGGAGGGACACAGTCAGATACGGACGAGGTTGTACAGGGTTGGGCAGATAAATTGGGACAAATTTCAACTTCCTCTAAAACGACTATTTTTTTGAGTGATAAAGATAATTTTTAAACATAAATATAGGCTAATGAATATTTTTCCATGTTATGCAGGTTGCGTTGTAATTGTGAGTCGGCTGGTCACAGAACGTGGGCTTAGGCAAGCCACTATCAACTTAGTCCGCGCGCACATGCATGCCAATATTCTAATTATGCTCCATCAAATGGCTGAAAGTAGTGTGTATCGAACAGACGTAAACGTTGGAGGAAGAGATGCTATTGACTCATCCTTACATACCTATTGCATTGACACCGGCCGCTCCCCCGGTTTTCCAGGGGGGCTAAAGGGTAAAATTCAGTTAAATCAGAGGATCCTCGCGAAAACAGTGGCGCGAGCTTACAACGAAGGTAGCCGCGCCTTGAGAAAGCGATATACCAGCACCTCAAACATGTACTCTTATGCACTGATGCATATCAACCTGTTAACATAGATGTTGAAGCAGCTGTGACGTTAAAAAGATTGTTTCCTACATTTTGCTCGTGATGTTTTGTATAAACGACTGTTTTGTATGTAAATGTGACCAGTGATTTTGTACTGAGTTGCATGAATACATGTTTGAAAAAAAAACATTGTTTCCTCTTGAAGGGCTTGGAGAAGCGAGCAAGCACGTGCAGGTCATTACTCATTTCTGACGATGGTATCCCCATAACCGAACATATGAACAACCGCAAACACCATGTAACATCGCAACCAGCCCAGAAGACGTGATCTTAGTTCCAAAAAACATGCAGCAGACATCGGTGATGGCATTCCACTCGGTGACTTCTGACGGTCACGTGGGGCCCCCTTATTTTACGGAATCGGGAGGGGGTTCGCCATTACAGGGTACCTAACCATTATTCCGGCAGTTCGAACCAACAAGATGGAAGAAGGCAACATCCTGCATGGGGTGATGCTCTTCGAGGAGTCAGCTCCCCGGCATGCAGTAAATTAAATACAAAATCTCCTGAAACCGAGGATCCCGCAAACTGTACTCAAGGGAAAATGCCCCCTTCCTCATTAAACCTCAGCCCACACAAGTTCTGGTTGCTGGGGCGTTTTTGCGGGTGAGTCTAACGAACGTCCCCATGTGACTGTGGCGAGCCTCAGCAGTGCCAGTCGGCTACAATCACGAGCCATTTCAGACGGGAGATCTCGCCGCGCGTGCAGTCAGTCCAGGCACCGACAAGGACTGATGCAGGTGGACCACGGTGACCATATTTGGTGATACAGGTGTAAAATTGGTGTGACAATATGTGATCCAAATTTGAAATGACTATGTTTACAAATTTCTAAGCTACGGCGTTTTAAATGCAAATACGTATTTTGTCCCAATTTATCTGCCCAACCCTGTAGAGGACACAAACATTGCACAATGCTCACTGCCCACACACTCGTCACTCAGGGATGAAGGGTTGGGTATGCGCTAAGGCGATGCGGGTCAACCGGTGGGATACGAATACGACTTGCCGGTTGCATACAAAACGCAAAAGGTCTGGAGAATGAAGAATACCAACAAGACTTGAAGAGCTAGAAATAACTGCCCGCGACAGTCGGGAACTGCGACAGTGTGTCTAACGCATCGGCCTGACATCGAACGGGTCATCCTGACATCACGCCAATCTGTCCGACATCATTCAGTCGCCAGGTTTGTTTCCATTGCGAAGTGATCATGCCCTGATCGATGGAAGTTGTCACGGGGAGTGGCCCAGTTCCCGCTGTCCAATGTATACGGTACACTGTGTACAGGACAGTCCACACACAGCCGACCCATGCCTGTGCCCCGTTCAGGCATCACAAGGACCGACCCCGACCAGCGGCACCCCAACCCATCTGCCGGTCGAATACTGATGTAACCGGGGGACAGCTGCCCAAACATCACTGTCGCGTGTCTGTCGGTGACGGCAGCTGCAGCGAAAACACGAAAACAGGGAGCACCAGCCGTCGACGACACGGGAAGGGAAGGGTTGAGACGGGCCGGAACAGGACAGGACGGGACTAACAGGACGAGACGGGGCGGAGAGCTACCGTCCTCTGACGGCTTAGTTGGTAAACGAGGAGCTCGTCTGGTTGCTCGAGAGATCGTATAACGGTCAATAAATAACATGGAAACACTGGATCACTTGATCTCTTCACAGAACATATGGTTTCCTCTCCGTACACGAGAACAGTGAATTTCCCCTTCATAAAGGAACAGCATATTTGGTATGAACTCTCGCGAACTATTTCATGTCGCTGAGTAGTGAATAGTTGAGTAGGCAGTCACTGGTCTAGTGTGGGGACATAGGAACGCGATTGGGTTACGGATAAGACAAGCCATGATACCACCAGCATAACGGGGATGAATCAGGGGACTCTTAGGCCACTCAATCACTAGCCAAACAAGGCCAGCGCAATCATCGAACTGATACGATGTGTGCGGTATGACAGTATATGGAGTGCCAGGAGCGATAGATTCGCGTCGGGTCGCACACTTCACGGTACGTTCCGGTTTCGCAGCTAACTGACTAACAGCGGTATGAGATGGCGTTCAGACAGCGATAGCTGAACGGATTATGATAAGGGCAACATACTGCGCGGTGCATTTTTACGTCAGCCAACGTCCAAGACCGACCTCACGATTTACAGCAAAAAGTCAAGGTGAAGAGTAACAAGTTTACCAAGTTAATTAGGACTAACCCATTCGAGATTGGACAATGGTTTTTGTATTTCCAGCTTCATGTCGACAAAGGAGCGATCGGCACAAAACACGACATCCGTTTGCGTGGGAAACACCGCCCACCGGGTGGGTGCCTGATTCCATCGTCGTTTATATCACAATGGCCAAAAGCTGAGAGAATAGAGTCGCTCCAGACTAACACGGAAGTATTATCCTTTGGTTTTGGTCCAGATATAGTTAAACTAATCTCTAGCCTATACGGAAATGTAAATAACGACAATTTTCCGCGCGCAGTGGTGCAGATAAACGGACATCTCTCAAAGGCGTACGTTTTACAGAAAGGCTTGAGACAGGGTTGCCCGTTAAGTTGTTATTTGTTTTTGTTGTGCCTCGAACCACTTCTGACAGAAAAAAGAGCGGCACAAAACATTGTAGGATTGCGGGTCGGCAATTCCAATATTAAGGTCACGGCATATGCGGACGACTTCACTGTGGTATTGGATGGCTCCGAGACCTCATTGGAGAATTGCGTGACGTTGTTCGAAGACTTTAAGCTAATTTCAGGCCTCCAGCTGAATAGGCAAAAGACTTAACCTTTTTGGATCGGGAAGGATGCCGACATAAAGGGACCAATCTGCAGCCACCTCGATCTTTTTTGGGAAGCGACACCTTTGGAAGTGTTAGGCATAAAAATACCGAACGACCCGAACATAGATATAGGGAATCTTAATTATGAAAAGAAAATCAACCACTTAAAAACTAGACTAGAGCTATGGTCCAACACGGAAGTATTCTGGACTGCTAAATACAATCAGACATATCCACGATTACGTAAAACGTGAAAAGCCATGGCTCGTGAGTCGTGGTCGAGCTAACCAGATCATGGCAACAATTCCTTTTTAATCTCACCGACTTGCAAAACAATTCCAATGAAAAACACTTGACGTAGATCTGAACTTTTCTGATAATTCCGTCTTTGCCAAACCCGTGGGCTTTGCTTTGCCATCTTTGCCTAAACCGTCCGTCTTTGTCAGACCGTCCGTTTCGCTATTCCGTTACGACCCTGTCCGACCTTGCGGCGACCCTCCTAACAGCGCCCGTGGGCGGCGGCGCTGCCCGCGCGGCTCTGAGTCGGTTATCAGCGCCGGGGCTGGCCAGTGAGAGCCGTGTGAAGATAGTCGCCGGTGCAATGGCGACGCTGGCCGTGATGCCGGTTTGATAGCGGTGCCGGCTGACTGGGTTCCTCCGGAGAGGTGCCGCCTCCCCCTGCGCCTCTGCCTGCTCCATGGACCGGGCCGATGGCCTCTGATGGCCCGCACTCACCGGCGGCCTCACCACTTACCGAGATGGCCGCGCTCACGAACGGCAGCTCGTGTCATTAGCGCCCACCTTGTGGCTGGTAAAATTAAACATTCAGGCGGACATGAATGCATAATGGGATAAAACTGGTCAAACGGCCCGCTGTGGTTTAGATTGAATGCAAACAATTGAAGATATTTAAATGAGATACAATACAATCGTAACCTTCAGGAATACGTTAATTATATTCACCCAACAATGGGGAATACGTCGGAAGCGAAGAATCCGTTCACAAAGGCCCACGTAGGCAGCTGAATAAGAAACGGTTGTGTCGTCGCCTGTGACGAGGAAAACCAGTAACGGATGAGGGCGCCAGCTGATAGTCGCCGATTTTTGTCCCGTGCGCAGGGTGTAGGCGCCATGGTGACGGAACCACCGACAACTCAGCGGAGGAGTGCCGCGCACAGACCGGTGGGTGTAGACTGTAGTAGAGGCGATCCAACCACCACCCAACAACACCGCTTTTCGGTGCATGGACCAAAGCTCAAGATGGAAGAACGGCACCGTTCGTAGCTGCAGACTGCATACGAAAGCTAACCGCTCAGTGATGGGAGTGATAGCCTTCACTGGGCCGCACTGCCGCCTGGTAACGCACTGATGGCGGAAAAGGTATCATCAAAGCGACCGCCGCGCATAATGGGCAGGTGCTGTTACCCCGAATCGCGCTGCGGTGAGAACTGACAGTTCACTGGGGCCTCTAAGGGCGCTGGGCTGCTGTTGAACCCTGGGTTGAATTGAGCCCCGTGTCATGGCGGGTTGTACGGTGGTCAAGTCTGGGCACCATGCTCTGTGACCTGCAGGGGAAGGGCACTGGAGTACGACGTGGTACTCGGAATCACAACCCGTCGCGACCGCCGTGCCGTACGAGAGAGGTCTGTGCTACTCG